ACACATTTTATGGGCGTGTTTGCACCATTACCTAATTTGCATATTTCAAACAACACCATCAGAGCGCGTGATTCATTCCCCACTGAGAATGGCTGAATGGTTACAGATTTCCTCTCTTTTCCCAATACTATCGTAGATTATTTGGCATTTCAAAGTTTATAGACACTTGAAACTCTCCTATGAGGGCACTAAAAAGGGAATGAGAGTTATAAGATTGCTCTCGAACGAGTCCACAGAGAGAAGAAAAAGCATGCCGACAAATATTCCCTCCAGTCCCAGCTGTTGTTGTCTGGGACCGAGCCTAAACCTGGCTAATAAGCTATTAAGAATAATGTGTCCGGCTGACTGTCTCCATTTTGTAATTGTTCTAAAAAAAAAATTTCCACAGACAGTCTGGCTATAAAGAACCAGAATGACAGGAGGATCAATTCCGGATCTCTCAGCAAAAAAACAAAAACAATGGAATGAGAGCAGGGAAGCTGAAAGAGACCTTTAGCTACCCTTGCATGAAATCTCAATCTCAACAAACTAAAAAAACAAAAATAAAAGCTGCGTTTAAGGCATTTTCAGCAGCTCAGTTCTGAGTGCAGATTTCTTCTCATTCCTTCAGCGTTTACCTTGTAGCCCTGGTTGATGCCGTTGATGAACTGCGGGTTCGGGGCTGTCCAGGTGAAGCGTATTGTGGTGGAGTTGAAGGGCTCTGCTTTCACATTGCCTGGAGCGATGGTGGGAACTGGTTGACAGGTAAAATGGAAAAAGGAAGACAGAGATGGAAACAAATGAGACTGAGACTTCTTATGCATATTCTGGCTGCTAAACCACAGAAAATTGATGTAAAAGATACATTAGTTCTGACTTCACAAATTATAGAAGGGGTACAGCAGCATCTTCACAACTAATGGAATTTTAACCCTCACCTCCCTGGAGTGTCCACTCTGTAACCTTATGGGAGTAAACGCCCAGTCCAGCTCCATTATATGCCGCCACCTCAATTTCATAATTCGTCCAGATGATGAGATCCTCCAGCAGCAGGTTGGTGACATCAGGGTTAGAGATATTTTTATACTGGATATCCACAGGCAGACCGGTCAGACGATACCTGAGATTAGCAGATGGTCAAATTGTTACTGTCAAGGACAGATGCAGATATCTTCTGATCTTAACGTACAGAGAGCTTTGACAGAGCGCAGAATTGATCCAAGAGAACCCTCTCTGAAGGGCTCTGATAAGCATCTCTAAAAATACACCCTGTCATCTACTCTCCATAATCAGATCTGTCTGTTGGTTTTTGTACAGCAGCACCATCTATAAGCAAAAGAGGGCGACAAAGAACCACTCTAGAAATGTTATGGCATTCTGTGTGTTTTCCCTGAGCTGAGCTGAGCTGAGCTGAGCTGAGCTGAGGACCATATGGGGCGACCATTACTTATGTTTGCAATACCAAAAACGGCCTTCAGCTTTCCTCAATGATGAACAGGAAAAATATATAAATAAATGAACAAAAAGTCAATTTCACTGTCATCACTGACTGCAAGGAAAAAGCCCTGAAGTGCTCAAATCCTGGAGTAGCCTTGAAATAATACAATACAATCAGATTCACCCACGAACCTGCTGTGGGGAAAGAAAATCTAGACCCGCTGGAAAAGAGTCATATTGGCATAACCTTGGAAAAAACATACTACAAAAGACAGAGAGTGAAATAAGCGTCAAAAAGAGAAGTGTTTAGGATACTACAAGTCCCCAGACATGAGTAAACATGTCTCACCGGATGATGTATCCTCTCAGGATGCCATTTTGGTGGCTTTCTGGTGGTGGCTGCCATTGAATCATGATGGACTGGTTGGTGCGGCCACTGGCAATGACGTTCTGAGGCGGAGCGCTGGGCGGCTCCTCTGGAAGAGACACCCTGGAGGAGAAAAGATAAACACAAGCAGTGGTAAACCAATATGAATTTTTTGATGGCTGATGGCCGATATAAAGCCAATATATATATATATATATATATATATATATATATAAA